TAAGATGGAGGAAGTGGAATTGACAGGCAGAGATTAAAACATTGTTATGGTGAGGATGGCTGACTATCTCCAGACTCAGGCAGAGAGGAGCCAATCTGCAGCCTGCACTTGCTCCTGTAGATAACTCACCCAGTGAATCATCAAAGCCTGTTTAGAAAGCACACATCCAAAATTCCCTTCATCCTTTTCACTGCAGAAATGAGGTTTTCATAAATCCTCTTGTTTTAATTTTCATCCATCAGTCTTGCCACTGCTTAACAGACATGCTCAGGGAGCAAAACAGCCGCTTTTTCAGACAACATGAAATGGTGTTTTTCAAAGTTTCCAAGCTGTTTTTTAATGGCTCATTGGGGGGAAAAACGTGCCTCTACCTACTTTTTTGCAATTCTAAAACCTAAACGTGGTGTTTACAACTGAAATTACCACTAAACACTTTCACCTAGCAGTAAGAATATAAAAATTGTACAAAGTCTGGCTGACTGTAAGATATAAGCTGGAGAAAGCAATTGAAGGAATCTTGAAAGCTTTGGCATGCTAGCGCTAATGAAGAGTGTATGCGAATTCTATTGAAGTGTGTGTTTTTGGAGTCAGGAGCAAAGTCTCAGGCCAGCTGGCAGTGCAACTTCTTTTATTCCTGTTCAAAAACAAAGTTGTAATTACAGGGGCAGATTATTGATTAATAAAGACTTATTTTCGTGTGTTTCCTTGCACAATACTGTGACGATGTCACAATACATTTTGAGGTTTGCATCACATAACCAGCTCCTTATGTCTTACATTTGTAAGGTAACACACTTGCTTGGTAGCTCACCTGGCAATGCATTGCGGAGCTGTCAGGTACGAGTAAACACAAGCTTGAAACACGAGTAATGATAAAATAGCTCAAACACTTGTAGAAGCAGGTTAACATGGCACGGTTGCTTCAGCAAATATGTTTTTATCTCACATTTTCTTTTGTTGACATTATTGCTAAGGTTTAAGGTAAGATTTAGTCTAGGTGGTATGTTATTTTAAATTCAATTCAGCAATCTTTTACATCCATGGAATCTTTCCATTGCACAAAAGGTTCTTCATAATGGAAAGGGTTCTATAGATAATCAAAAGGTTCTTTTAAGAACTGATCACTGAAAGGTTCAAATGTGGAACCAAAAATAATTCTTCAATGGCATCATCGAGAAAACCCTCTATTAACGGAACCTTTTAACCTTTTAGTGCCTCTCAACATTTCAGACATTTAATTTCCAGTCGTTGTGATAAGTACAACAACCGAGATGGTCAGATTCACATTCATCTGTTTTGGATAAAACTGAATGCCTTTTTAACTGGACATTTCACTTTGAAAGTTTCACAAAACACGCAAGAAGCAACATAATGCTTGTGGCGAGCAGGACAAGGCCATTCTCCCACGGCCCTCGGCCTGGCCCTGCTCGCCACAATGTTATTTTGCAAATATTTCGCCACAGGCACGTTTTTCCAAGTGGTTGAGGGTTACTTGAGAATGTAGATGGTGTCCGGTTAAAGGGCTCAAAAGGGGGCAAACAGGTGAACAGGGAGGGGAAAGGGAAGCACCGGCTGAAAAACATGACCTTTGTGTGATAGTTATCTGGCTACTGCTATGTTGAAGCAAGCTGGTGGGTGCCCATGAGGAATAGCAATGCTTTTGTTGGTAATCTTTGCACGATCAACCTGCCCTGTTCTGTGTCTATGACTCAGATCTCCCTGATCTCCAAAAGACACTCACTCAATACCACCTGCATGGATGCCCTCACTCACCCCTGCAAGGGACCAACCTCAGGGCCGCAGAGCGACAGGGTGAAGACCCCTCCCTAACCACAAAACACAGCCTCTTGAGAGACTCGCCTCGGGTAATGTCACTGACAAAAAAAGCCCACCTGCATATTTGTATTCAGCCAGACACACACCTGAGACCTGCTGCACTTTTATTCGGCTCCGTGGGATGATTCTCGTTGCAGACGTGCATCTGTCCACCTGTTTGGAGGTCCTATGTGCTCCGATGCCTCTGAGCCTTCAGTCTGAAGGCTCAGCTCTAACTCAAATTGGCCCAAATCAAGCAATGCTGCCCTATTGAAGATGAAGAGGTGCAGCCTGGAGCTCATATGCCACAGACAGGGCTCCTATTGATTTTATAGCACAAGCTGCTGGTAAGCTGTGCTCTCTCTGGCATACTAAATTCCCTTCCCTTCAAGGGGGGCTTGATGAACTGCACAGATAGCTCTCACTCATTCCTCTTGTCAGAAGCACTTGAGCTAGATGAATGTCTTACCTGTGAGTCGTGTGTATGCGAGTCACTTAAATGTTTCCCGGCAAACTCCTCAGGCTTTTTTCCAACGTCTCTGATGATGAGTGGCTTTTTTTAAAAGAGTGTTTTAAATGCTTTTCCAGGCTTCGCTGTGGAGGATTTATCTTCAGATGTTTGAAGACACCTGTCACTGTCTGACCTCTCAATCAACGTAGATAGATAGGCTAATAGTTAAATATCATGACATTGGATATAGTTGTTATATAATAGGGCACTGAATGGGTGTACCCTCAAAAAGTCAACATGAAATTTTTTTTACATAATGTGACTTATTTGTGATGTTTATTGAAAAATACCATGAAAAGTGGCCTCTGTATATTACATGATTTTGATTCCTCAAGGCTCCAGACTACAATTCAAATGGTCTCAAATGCACCCAAAAAAGTGTGACAACCGAAAAAGCTTTATGTGCGTTCATATGCAGATTCGTCATGTTGACTATCTTGATAAGCCACCTTTCCACTTTCTCCAACATTCATATACGATTGTTACATTTTGCCCTCTACTGGCAGTTTCACAAAATGTTCAAATATATCCACACAAAACAAATGACCAAAGATACATTTGAAAGAAAAGCATAGTAGGGGCTAATCAACAAAATTAATATTCACATAATTATTTATTAATGGCAGTTTTAGAGAAATTGTAGAGAAAATTCTAACCAGTTTCACAACTGGTCAGTCAGCTGCATACAATCTAGCAGCAAATATAGTTCAACACACCAGAAGCTCAAAACAAAGCTTATGATCGCATGTGATCAGAACAGCCCCCTTATTACTCCACAATGGAAAAGGTGAAAAGGCGACTTAAAGTCTGCGTCAAAGTTTCATTCGCAGCATGAGCCGTGATGCTTGATTGACATGAGCAAATTACTCATATAAACCGGTTCATTTGAATGAAAAGATTCACGAAACAGCCTTGAACTCACAACTTCACTGACAACACAAGGTATTCTAAAAAAAGCTAGTTAGGTGCAGTTGTAATTGTAATTAGTATGGAGCCCTATTGCTGACATTAGACGAAAAGCAAAACCTATGAAAGATTATGAATAAACATTTTTATTATATATACATATTAATTTCTTTGGAATAATGTGCACCGATTACCTGTAATGTGAATTAAGAGAGTAAATCGGGTCAATTTTGATTTCATGTTGACTTTTCCATCCCTGATTCTGAACCAAAACATTTATTTTGTGCATTATTTCGGCTTGCACACATTTTGTGAAGAAGACAAAGAGTGCATTGTTGGCATTCTTGAAACTGACTTTATTTTTTTTTTTCTAAATCTTTAAATATCTCTCCGACTATTATCTTTATTGATGTAAACTACTGTATTTAAAAGGTGTGCTTTTTTTTCTACAGCACGTATCGAGCTGAGACTGCTGTTTTCATTGAGAGGTCACGTACACAATGTTGCAGGCCTAAGTGGTGAGTGACATGGCCTAAGACTCTATGGATGTGATTGGCTGAGCAATAACAGTCCTAGTAAAGAGGAGCTGATGCGAGACTGATGGAGATGAAGGAGCAAGCGAGCAAAAGCGATGGGTGCTTGGAGTAGGCAGAAGAGACAGGCACTAGGTGCTCTGAGAGAGACTTGAAGGGTTAAACTGTTCACTCTGGTGGACTCCTTCAAATATGAAACACTCAGTTTTGGACCCAGAACAGCACGGTTTCACAACATAAAGTGGATCCAAACAAAAGGCAACATTTACAGTAATATTTCCAGTGAGGCGGCAGATCTTTAGCATGACTTCCGTAAGCTGAATGAAATAAAACTGGAGATGAGCGGCTGGCTTGCATGAATCTGAAAGTTAAAGTACATGCACGTCAGCTTTTGGGGGTTCTGAAATGAGGTGAATATCTGAAAAAACTACATTATTATAGAAGTTTCAAGATCTACTTCCATTTCTACCTAACTGACACATGGATTAATAATTGTGAGCAATGCAAAGGAAAACTTATAGTATACATTATATCATCACGTCTGGATGTGTTTTGCATACATGAATATAATTGTCAGGTACAGATTTTTTTCTTTCTTTCAATTGAACAATTTTAAGGGCAGATCTGTTGTTTTCTCTGTTGGCTAAACTTCTTTAAAGCCCTTGTATGCTCGTTGTTTGAAAACCAAAAGCCCTTGGAGTTTAATATTAATCAGTATGATATTGATAACATTAACTAAGCAACTAAAGTACAGTATACATTTATATTTTGTAGTTAAGTTCAGTATAGCATTGATGTAGCGTTAATGTAGATAGAATGAGCAGTATATATTTTCAAAGAGGTGTTGCATGTTCATAAGCATAGCGTTTGTTGTTTGGACTGGAGCCTGAAAATCCCATCAGCCCATTTGGAGGTTTGTCAATTCATGATATGTGAAGGATACAAGTACTCAGGGCAGTTCCTTTAGACTCTTGATGCCCAGCTTTTGGTGAACAATATTTTCTCTAAAAATATTTCAACTATACACAATTAAGAAATCTACATTTGGCAGCCGACTGCTTTTCTTTCGCAAACAGATGAAGAAAACTCTACAGCAATAATGACCACAATATCCATATTAATAAGCACAAGGGCCTTCAATAAGCTTCTTATCAAGGAAATCTCACAGAAAACCTTCCGCTATATATTATTATTTTTTTTTAAATTTCAATGAAAACAATGTAATACCAAAAAACTTTGGTGGGCTAAAATATAATATTTAATAACAAGCACTTTAACCCTGTTATAAAAGTTTATGCCAGGGAATCTGGGGAGTTTGAAATGGAAATATTGGGAGTGAACGTAAAAAAATAAAAAAATAAATAAATAAAGAATAACCGTGTGAATGGCATGCAGAGCCCGGCCAAGTAGCTCCTGGGCAGTGTGTAGGTGGGATGAGTGGGGGTGATCAGCATTAGACAGTGGCACTAGTTGTGGGCTCAAGTTCCAACCCGGGAGAGAAACCAACAATTGTATACAATCGTGTGATTGTGAGGCGGCACTCACAGCTATGGGCTACCGAGCTGTGCATAAGGCGAGTATCGGGACAGCCTTTCGGTTCATCTGTCAGAAGCGGAAACAATCCTTCCCTCAGAGGGCGTCACAGTTTCGCTGGGCTACCTTTGTGCACTTCAGGAACTTCAATGGGAAAATGAATGACACTGAGGAGAGGACTAGCATTCTACTCGAGTAGCCCTTAGGGGAAGGGATGTGTGAAACAACAGAAACAGTGACTAAAAAATGAGGATTAAAAGGAAGCACCAATGATCTAACAATTACCATCTATATATTTATATACTGTATACTGTTATAGAAAGAGGGTTATAGCCCTGCAGGCCTCGAGTGAATTCTTCTTCCTGCTGGGGTCCAGCTCAAGTCTGTGGTTGTCACGTCTTGGCCATGGCACTTCCTCTGTGCTTATACTCTCTCAGACTGGAGTGGTCCTCCTGTTGGCAGCATCTTTGAAGTCCTTAGCGTTGGAGTTGTGAGCCTGCAAAAACTCCCTCTCGGAGTTGAGCAAGGCACCCATAGCCGCCTTGGAGGGATCCCTGGACAGGGTGTACATGGAGATGTCTGCCGCAGCGGGGCCCGTGTACCCGCTCTTGCCCATGGGCGAAGCGTCACGAGAGGCGGGCTCACTGGAGCGGCAGCTGGAACGCCGGCGGAAACGGTAGCGGTAGCTGGGGATGCGACTGAAAGCTGATTTTTTGATCAGCTCAGTGCGGGATTTGGCACGCAGCTTCCGGTGCTTCTCGATGAACATGTGCACGGCGAGCACGCCCACCATCTCGGCCATTATGAAGGACAGGGCGCCGAAGTAGAAGGACCAGCCGTACGAGTAGCTCTTCTTCGAGTCGCTCTGGCCCGGGTCACCTGAATTGGCGGATATGTACACGATAATGCCGATGATGTTACTTAGGCCTGCGTGAAGAGTAAAAGCAGAGGAGAGGGCGAGAGAGAGAGAGAGAGAGAAAGTTACGGCTCAGCACGCAGCTGTGGCTCATCATTCCGTATCATTACACAAGAACGCATTGCTTATCAGCCATGCGGAACAAAGAAAAAAAAAGAACAATTGAAACATTTTAATTAGCTTTTTATCATCGCCATCACATTGAAGGATAAATAATTACCAGTTTGCAGTTGAATATTTAGATCATCACCAATAGGATGAGGCAATTTGAAGGAAATTGTTGTGTACAAAGCAACGCTCAGTCATCGTCAGTGCATTCGCTGCAATCACGAGGATTGATTCATCATAATTCAGTTCTAACGGAGGGAGTTGGGCTCATTTGTGTGCTCATGAGGTCCTAATGGGGCCTTCTCTAAATATTTGACCAACATGCAGTTCTGTTTGAGGATCCCCGTCTGTCACCCCTTTCCATGCCAGAACTACAGCAGTGGGTCAATACGCTGGCCTGCTGTTTGTTTACACCTCTCAAGCCGGCCCATCCATTTCCTTTGTCAATAATCAGAGTTAATCTGGGAAGTCAACACGGATCTGCAGAGTCTACGGGGAGAACGACATCCTAACCTGTCTGTGAACTAATCTATTTTCAGCATGCCGTATTCGGATGTGGGGAAACCCTGGTTTGGACAATTGACTGTGGTATGAGTGAAATATGCTAAAGCTAAAAATATAAACAGGCTGAGAGCGTACTGATGCAGTGGGTTTAATCTCTTACCAGCAGAGACAAAGAAGATTCCAGCACTGAGGATGACATTGTGTCTGCTCCTGTAAAACTCACTGGCAGCCACACACAAACCTCCCATGAACAGAAGTCCAACGCTCATGATGGGGAAGATGCTGGACGCTCTCACCGCTCCTGAGGGAGATACAAGCAAACCCAACCAAATTAGTGTCACGGTAAAAAGTACACACAATATTTTTGTGATCACACTTTTTTACAAAAGAATGACTTCTCGTGGTATAGCATTTCATTTTGCTGTATGGAAAAAAAGCACCCCAGACATTCGGCTAAATAAATAATCACACTACATGATGTTGAAAGGATCTTGACGTTTTTGGTGAGCTATCCCTATAAGATTTACTGACATAATTACTTGTTTTATAATACACATAGGTTGGTATGTTTTCGATTTATGGTATAATGAGAGCTCTTCTCTCATAGATGTTAAGAGAATTAAAAAGCAATACAGAGGTATTTGGTCTAATAACCCGGGATTTCAAGGTTCAATCCCGAGTGAGCCATCTAATGGTGCCCTGCCAAAAGAATGTCAGTGTTTAGTTAAGTCGTCGCAGATCTGAGCATTGCAACACACAGCATCTGTCCAAAATGCCTCATACTTCCATCCAATTATTTGCGGACAGTTCTGGATCAGAAAATGCAGCACACATGGGGCTTCTCAGACTAGCTGAACTCCTCGCTCCTTCTCTCTGCCTCAGATCAAGCTTGATCGGCCTCTTCAAAAACAGGATAAAAGTTAAAGGAGGGGCGTCTGAGAGTGTCAGGATCAATGTCAATAGCCTAGTTGACTGCTCTTATCAGTACTCTATTGCTATGCATACCGCAGCACTGCAGCATTTGCCCTTCCGAGCGCTTATCCTCCCTCTAAGAAATAAATATTTTGGAACAAGAGGGGCAATCATGTCTACAGATGAAATAACCAGTGAATGTGATTGGAAAATCCATTAGTATAGCCTTTTCTGAAATTCAGCTTTTGCATTATCCTTTACTGCATACATGTAATAATTGACACTAATGTTTATGTAAATCCACTCTTTCTAAAAACAATGCAAATCAATGAACCATTCATGCAAAAGCATAACGTTTGCATGCGCTGTAAAGCATTAAGTAAGCTAGAGTGGGATAAAAGCATTCATACATGGAAAACCATTGATTTTCAAGGATTTACCTCAAATTTGGATTTACTTAATTTTATGAAGATATCTGAAACAATGTGATGGACATTTTACGGTGTCAAAATTACCATTCGTTTAATAGCTCTTAAATGCTTTCACCGTTTTAATTGATAAATACATTAAAATATATCAGGGAATATATAGGTACAACAAGTCAAAATTATTAGAAAGGGAATCAAACAAACATAAGGAATGCTGTGGTGACCCCTAATGGGAGCAGCCAAAAGAGAGAGAATAAGTCCATGTTTTCTTGCAAACTGCAGGTCAATTATTCATTTCCCCATCACTCCGATTAAAATTTCAATTCAATATCATGTATGGCCTTCTCAGTTAAAGGAACCCAATTCAACCCAAAGTGGAGTAACAAGAAAGGATTTTTTTTACTTTTAACTTGCCATTTAGTCTATGATAAAAGAATGCATGACTTTAAATGTTGTTTGAGCATTAAACAGATGTGCTTTCATTGATGATCAAATGGGGTCAGTTGTTTATGAAGGCAACTGCACTATGGTTTCATTGTCTTTCTATAACACATGTCACTCTCCTTCCCTCTTCTTCATTTCTCTCTTTCCTCAGTGGATCAGCAGTCTCCTATGGCACACCTCATTAATATATTGGTGCCCAGGGGAAGACAAAATACTCCTCCATCATCCAATTTTCCTGCCATCCTTGAAAAATGGATCAGTGGCCGAGCTGTGCTTAATTACAGCTGGAAACGGGAGATATTTATTGAAGAGGATTGTACAGAGCATTAGCATGCAACAAAAGGGATGACATCTGCGTCCTTGATGGGTCCATCGCTTCGCTGACAGGTAAGATCTACGTAGGGTAATACCTCTGTGGGATGACTTAGACTTCCAGTTTGAAAACTGGATGGATGGGCCTCTCTGGCTAACAAGCCGAGGTTATCAGCCTAGCAAATCCCCTGAAGTCTGTGCGGTGGGCATTTTGTACACAAAGATGTGCCGGGCAGAATGTGAAATGCCCATCTGAATCCGCATGCAGAGCATGTTAAGCCAGAGGACATGGCCCTCTGCTTCAAATGAATAACAGAGAAATTAGAACAATGCTTATAGGGAGAGACAGTCATCTCAAGGGTAACTAAAGTACGCTATTAGAGAGACAGATAAAGACAGAGGGAATCAGAGGCAGAGAAATTAACCATGTTGACTGCATTTCTTTCATAATAAGCTCCACATTTCGCTCAAAAATGTATATTTATAGTGCTCATGAATGTATGTCACGGCATTGTTTACTGTGAATGACATGCCAATAGCAGGATAAACAGAGAAGCGAAAGGAGCTGTAACGCTAAGCTTTAAACTATGCCTCTGGTCTCCTGTTTTCTCTCTATCTTGTCTTTAAAGTCTGGATAGGATGTCTGTATTTTTGGTTTGCACAAACAGTCATGCCGAAACTGATCACGCTAGACTCATCTCTTGTGAAACTTCAGTCTAAGATGTCTAGTGCAAATAGTTATTGGCAGAAACCTCGCTTGGTGTGGTTTGTTGTTTACATGCAGTAAGATCTCACATCACATCAGTCTCGCCATAAATCTCCAGTGTGGAAGGCTGCCGTTGGACTCGTTATTAAAGGAACAGTTCACCCAAAAATGAAAAATTACATTGCTGCCATTATTTTCTCACTCTCTTGCCCTTCCAAACTCATATTTTTCTTCGCATAGAACACAAAGAAGGATTTTATTTTGAAGAATTTTCACTCTCTACAATACATGCAACAACAGCACATCATTGCTGTCAGAAGGAAACCTTGTAAGTCGAAAACTGCTACTTTTCTGAAAACGGGAAAAACACTGTATTTTTTTAAAATAATTAAACGTTTATATAATTTAACGTGGGTTCACATAATTGTAATAATAATATGGTCAGACACTTGCCAAATCAAGCTCGGAGTTATGAGGTTCTTGACCAGCGACTGTCAGACAAACATGTTTTGCCCATCATTAGAACGGCCACATCTGAGATAGCAAGTGCATTATTGTGCGTTTTTGCCAACTTACAAGTTATAATGAAGATATTTTTGATTAAATCTGAGAGGTGGGTCACTGCTACTAAGGGATCGAAACTTGACGGCCCAGAAAGTCATTGAAGAAAATGTTTAAATATTCCATGTAACTACAGTGGCCCAAGTATAAGTTTATCGAGCGACGAGAATACTTTTTGTGCGAAAAAACAAACAAAAATAACGACTTTATTTGACTATTCCTTTTCTTCCTTGTAGGCCTGAGACGAGAGTTCAAGAACTGGACTGATCGCAGTTCTCGCGCATGCATCGTGGAAATCTCTTGAACTCTCGTCTCAGGCCTACAGGGAAGAAAAGGAATAGTTGAATAAAGTCGTTATTTTTGTTTGTTTTTTCGCACAAAAAGCATTCTTGTCGCTTGATAAACTTATAGTTGAGCCACTGTTGTCACATGGAATTTCAGTCCTTTAGGCAGCCTATCTATCAGTGATTCACCTCTCAAATTTAATCAAAAATATCTTAATTTGCTTTCCGAAGATGAACAAAGGTCTTATGGGGTTGGTACAGCATGGGGGTGAGTAATTAATGACTTAATTTTTGGGTGAACTAACCCTTTAATATGAGGTTTTGCCGACAGTTTGAGTATAGAGTTCCAATACAGTTATACAAGTCTTTTATAATACTTTTCATTGGTTAAATATTTTCAAAACCTACAGATAAACATAAAAGTTGACCATTAGTAATGATTCACAGGAAAAAAAACAAAAACAACGAAATATTGAAATATGAGTTTTCTGGCCGACAGCGGTAAACGCACAAAAAAAAAAAAACACCTTCAAGGGATACTCCACCCAAAAATTAAAATTCTGTTATCATTTACTCACCCTCAAGTTGTTGCAAACCTGTATAAGTTTCTTCTGCTGAACACAAAGAAAGATATTTTGAAGAATGACTGGAACCAAACAGTTGTTTGGCACCATTGACTTCCATAGTTGAAAAAAAAAATACACACAAACAAAAAAACTACACATAATTAATCGCAATGAATAATAATATAATATATACTGTATACACACACACACATGTAAATATTGAAAGATTTTTCTCTTTTGGGTGAACTATCCTTTTAATGTGTCATTGTATGCACTGCAGCAGAGATTCATAATCACAGGAATCTGCTGGGCGTCTCATCATAAATGATGTAATTGACATATGCATTAAAACGCGCAAGCAAAAACACACATCTGAGAAAACAAACATATTCCAAGAATATGTACGAATTTACATAGGGGAGCCAGTTAAAGAAGATGTCACTTAAATAGTACAACCAAATGACCATGACAGTGTAAAGGCTTGTGGGTAAGCATGATTTATCACTAAGCATAAACCATGACATGCTTGAATGCGTGCTTCTACTTTGTTCGGCTTCAGTCACCAAGCAATTTCAAGACATGCTGCACCTAATCTATATGATGGTAAAAAGTGTGGAGGTCATTGCAAAAACTGAAGAAACCTAGGAGGACTAAACAAGAAAAATCCATCTCGCCAAAACGACCCTTCTCTATGCATATAATCTGGGTGATTGTGAGACAGTAAGATGTGTGAATAACTGTACGTTCACACCGCTGCCGACTTGAGCTTCCAAATTGGCTGGAAGTCATTCATTTTCAAATGGAAGCTGGCTTTTCTCGTCTGCAAGGAGTCTCAAATCCATTTTGGGCATTTTAAGCGTTTTGAGCGTCAATCAGAAAGTGGAAAGAAGCTAAACTTTATGGAAATGAGCAATGACGTGGTTCAGTGAACGTGATTTCACCAAGTACCATATGTTCCTGGATCAACATCTTTGTTGATCCTGGATCAACTTTCCAATCAACCAATCAGATTTGAGGGACAAGTTTACAGCTTAGAACCAGGGTGAAGTACTTAAACATCAGTGCTATTCACCTTTCATTGCCCTCAGATTTTAGGGAAAAGTTATGGGTAGGGTTAGGTTTAGGGGTAGGGATTGGGTAGGGACAGGAATGTTGATCCAGGATCAACAAAATATGTTGATCCAGTACCATGTCTTACTTAGAACATATTCAGGAACATATGGAAATCACATTCACTAAACCATGTCATAGCTCATTACCATAAAGTTTAGTTTCTTTCAACTTTCTAATTAACGCTCAAAACGCTCAAAACGCCCAAAACGCGACGCCGATGGATTTGACGCTCCTTGCAGCCGAGAAAAGCCAGCTTCCATTGGAAATGAATGACTTCCGGACGCTTTGGAAGCTCAAGTCGGTATTGGTGTGAACGTACAGTAAGATGCGACTGTGTTTGGTGGACTTTGGAAAGTTCTAGTTTTTATTCAAGTATAAATTCATATGCCATTTGATTTTTATATGGTTTATGAGAGCACCATTTATTAAATGGACAACCAATACAACAATTTTGCTGTATGGTCCAATATTACTATCATTCAAAATTTGTGGCCAGAAAGATTTCTTAATGTTTTTGAAAGAAGTCTCTTATGCTCACTAAGACTGCATTTATTTGGTCAAAATAACAGTAATATTGTGAAATAACTATTTTCTATTGTAATATACTTTAAAATGTAATTTATTCCTGTGATGTCAAAGCTGAATTTTCAGCATCATTACTCCAGTCTTCAGTGTCACATGATCCTTCAGAAATAACACTAATATGATGATTTGCTGCGCGAGAGACTTATTATCGAGAAAATGTATTATTATACATTTTATTATCTTGTTTTTCAAGATTATTATCTTGATTTCAAAAGAATAGCATTTATTCTAAATAAAAATATTTGGTTGCATTATTAATGTCTTTATCTTTAATGTCAGACCGAAATGCCTGTGCCCTCAGGCCCCGTCCACACTACTGTGTTTCGTTTAAAAACTGAGACCTTTTGCTACGTTTGCACTCCCGTCCAGACTAAAACGGGAAAAACGAAGACCTAAAACAGAGAAGTTTAGAAACGCTGCAGCTCCGTTTTGCGTTTTGAATCTCCGGAAGGCATTTTAGTGTGGACGGAACAAAATGGAGGAGTTTAGAAACGATGACGCAGAGGCTAACGCTCGGCTCTATGATTGGGTGTCATCAGTCATGACGTATCCTTCCCTGATTCGTCAGCCAGTATTTACACCGGCATGCGCATGCCCAGTGTTGGTGAATGGCCACGTGATCCACGTCTTCAAGCGTTTTAATGTGGATGGAGATACGCAGCTAAAACGCTGGTGTGGACAGAGATTGTATTCGTTTGAATTCTCTGTTTTTAAACAAAAACGCAGTAGTGTGGACGGGGCCTCAGATCATTTGGACGTGGCTGTGGTTTGAAGAGGTAAAAACAATATAAATACTGTTCGTTTTTTCACACAAACCGCTCGTTTCGTGTCTTAGGCCATCAATGTGTACTTACATTTACGAGTCATTAAATCATGTTTAATTTGGACTTCTCTGTGCATGCTCTTTGAGGTGGTGAACATAGACCTTCATTATATGACTGACAGACAAGAACGAGAAAAAGAAAGAACAAGACAAGAACAAGAAAGTTTGACCTAAAAATATCAAAATTGAAACTACTGCGGAAACAAAGACACCTACATCTTGAATGCCCTTGATGTAAGCTAAAAAATACCAAAAATTAATTTCAAAGTTAACTATCCCTTTAATTTCTATAAAAAAAAGACACTGACCCCAAACCATTGAATTGTGTATATTGAGACTTTTCAATAATACCAACATGCATCGTTTATTATAAATAACATTTATGCATTTATAAATAACTTAAAAAAGGATAACTCCAAAAATACAGTAACAATCATATTTTGTGTATCGTTTTTACAACAAACTTTTCAGCTATTATCATTATTTTTCCTATTATTATTTTTATTAACAGAGGTCTTCTCGTAAAATGCTGTCAGGCATGAAGGTGCACCTCAAAGAGCGCTTGCTAAAATCAAATAAGTAATTTTTAGTTTGTTCTGATTCAGAGGGACCAACAGTGATGATGTCAGAGAGGGTTAGTCGTTTGTAATTAATTACTAGCATTCCGACCCATTAAAGCAATTTGTGGGCCATGATAGGTAGGCATTATCACACCCACTACACAATCAGCCAATCACAGTGGCATGGAGGCACTATGTCTCCTCCAATGACTTATCGCCTGTATTATATCATTCCCTGCCCTTCACATTTATGTAACAATAGGATCTCAGACCCAAACATAGCTAAAAGACAGGTTGCCTCCCAGTTTATCTGCTGGACAGTGTTACTTCATAAAAATGAGCGATTTACACAGTATTTGAGGTCATAAAATATATGTTTGTTTTGTAGTCGATTCTTTTCTCCTCTAATTTATTTTGAAGAACTGTCTTGCCTCATCAGAGAAAACGCCCCTGATGTGTGGTGTTTTGACAGACTTACGTAGTAAATACTCTGCTGCATCCTGCTCATAATCTGCATCCTCTGGAAAGTGGTCAATCTTCTTACAGACACCTCGAAATGTTCCTGCAGCCATGAAGAACAGAGAGCAGAAGAGAGAGAGAGAGAGAGAGAGAGAGAGAGAGAGAGAGAGAGAGAGAGAGAGAGTAAAATACCATTAGTCTATTTTTTTGTATGCATGTGTTGGAGTGCATACAAATACACAAATACAGCCCAGGAGTGCATTTTTTGTGTAAATGTGTCTTGGTGGGTTTAATTTGCTGTGTTTTCTTATGCATTTATCAGGTCAATGAGCACAGTCCTAGTAAGCTGCTTGCTATGTATATGTGTGTGTATGTGCATGTATGCATGCCTTCTTGTGCATTCACTGACAACCCGTTCACTCGGCTGTGCGCTCAAGATGACAAATGAACAAAAATAACGTTTCTGCCCTTGGGCGTAACATGTGACCAGCTAATGAAGAGGTTTATCGTACCAAATACGTGTGCCCTATGTAGGGGGAAACCATTCTGACACATGCTGTCATATTCCTCCTCTGGATTAAAGGAGGAGTACACAGCTCAAACACTCGGTTTGTGTTTTGAAATGTTACCCTTTTAAGCAATACTGATGCATCAGCTTCTCTGTAGCTAATATCAATGCACAGTATTGTTAAAACACAAAGTAACTGTTAAAATATTAAAATATAATGAATAAACAATAATTAATACATAAAATACATTAAATATACAATTTTATTGAACCTGAAAATACAAAAAAAGTCACACAAAAAAATTTCAGAATAAATTATCAACAAGAACAACCAAATGTTAAGTATGTTTTACAAATATTAAAATGGCATTGGCATCTCAGACCATAAACGAATAAGCCATTGAAAAACGTTAGGTTACTAACGTAACCTAGGTTGATTCTCTGATAACATGAAGTGAAGTATCACTTCATTGCGGAAGCACCAATTACACCACGTCTGCCAACCATGGCAGACCTATCGCTGCAGCGATCAGGGAGTCCCAGTTCCCTTCCCTGTATATAAACCCGCAGCTACCTGCCGTTTCGTCTCTCTCCGCCTATCTCTTCTCCGTGCGAAAAGGCAAGGAGGGCAATGTTGTGAGATACCTCACTTCATGTTATCAGAGAACCAGGGTTACGTCACTAACCTAACATTCTCTTTCTAACAGTCGTTTGGTATCTCACTATGGGATATAGACAACTCCCGTATCGCCGATATGCTGACGAAGCAGATGGAAGAAGAGGGGATATAAATAGTAACTGAATCATAGTCCCAGATACCATGGGGAAAGATGCCCCCTTTCTAGGGGATTATCTCGCTGATACGTAGTACTCCCGGATTCTGTGATCTTTGTGCACTGCCACTTCTCCTGGCGAACTGATGACGGACTACACTAAGTTTATTTATACGGCATCCCTGGTAAATAAGTCTGATTCACTAAAGTGCCGGCTGCAAACAAACATGCTACCTTGTTTTATTTTAAAGTTTTAATCCACTTCTTCCTTATACTCAATTCAGTCGAGAATGCATGAAAGCTTAAGTAGGGTTGGCGTTGTTGGTTAGATTTACAAAGTGGAACAGAGCAGTGACATATATAGCATTCGTCTCAGGCATTGTTGAACTGCGTCGGAAGTGGACATGCACAAAGTTGACAAATCCCGCCCATGAAACCCGGAAGCGTGATAATCCCCTATTAGAACCACCTCATACCACCTGACTACTCACTCCCAGAACTGAGTGGGCCAGAGAGGGTTCTATAACATCCAGTCCATAGAAACGAATAAATGTGTGCCGAGAGGACCAGCTGCCTGCCGCGCAAATTTCTTGAATAGAAATCCCCTTAAATAGAGCTCAGGATGTAGACATCCCCCTTAGTAGAATGTGCTTGTGATGCTACTGGGGGCTCTATACTCATGCTATTGTAACATAACACGATAGCCTCTACCACCCAGTGGGAAAGGCGTTGATGGGATGTTGATAGGTTTTCCCTTATAAGAGACAGCCCACGAGACAAACAACTGGTTGCTCTTACGCAATGTACATGTACAGCGTGCAAACCAGACATAAACAGTGTAACCTCTCCTCCTCTGAAGAACAAAAAGAAGGTGGATGAAAAGCTGGCAAGTCCACTGCTCTTACCGTGTCTGCGTGATCTTTGGGCACGAACGCCGGGATAGTTCTAAAATTAGCTCTTTGACCACCTGGAGCGAACTTCATGCATGAAGGGTGAACTGATAAAGCTTGTAGTTCACTCACCCTTTTTGCTGTTGTAAGAACAAGTAACAGAGCCGTCTTTAAAGGGAGCACCTTTAAGGCAATACTATCAATAGGCTCGAATGGGGCTTTAGAGACCATGTACAGGACCACAGACAAATCCCATGGCTGGACCAGTGGCTTTGATACTTGGTGTAGCCTTTATGCACCTCTCATAAATCAACAGACTGGAGGTTTTTGGCCAATAGTACCCAAATCAATACCCACATGACATGCCGATACAGCGGACAGATACACCTTAACGATGGAAAAAGCTCTGCGTCTATCCAGGAGGTCCTGAAGAAAACACAGCACGTCCCAAACAGAGCACATTCCTCAAAAACTCTCCATTTGAGATTATATATGGAACGAGTCGAGGCAGCCCTCGCATTTTGAATCGTCTCAGTAACCTTCGGAGGTAGCAAGGCTGCGCTCAGATTCAACCTCTCATGGGCCAGGCCCAGAGAGCTAGATTCTGAGGGGAGGGATGGAATATTTCCCCCCGGGCTTGTGAGAGGAGATCACTGCACGCTGGCAACGGCCAAGGCTGGTTGTAAAGCAGTTGCGCAATCTCCGCAACCCACAGTCTCCCCAGCCAGTACGCTGCAGAATCATCACATGTCTGCGGTCCCGAAACCTCCGTAGTGTCGGCTCGATCAATCTCAACAGAGGGAACGCGCACAGTAACACGTCTGGCCACTCGTGGGCTAGAGCATCCACACCCAATGGTGCATCGTCGCTGACCAGAGAGAGGAACAGCGGACATTGTCATTGTCTTGACATAAGTCAAGAAAATATGATCATATAACACCAATTTTATCAATCATATAACACCAATTTTTAAGTTCCGTATCAATTACAAAGTACTACTACTGACCTATAAAGCACTAAATGGTTTAGCTCCTGTGTATTAATGGACATTCTATCGACCTACAATCCATCGCGTTCTTTAAGATCACTAAATTCAAGGCTTCTGGTCTTTCCTAGGATATCTAAGTTCACTAAAGGAGGGAGGGCATCCTTACATTTAGCTGCTAAACTCTGGAATAGCCTTCCTGATATTGTTCGAGGCTCAGACTCGCTGTCCCAGTTTAAAACTAGATTTAAGACGCATCACTTTAGCCAAGCATTCACATAATGCTTACCTTTTATACTACTGTTGAATCCGATCGAATGCATTAATATTAAGAACAGCAGCAATGCAAACTATTTCCCTTCTGCATTTCTACTGTTAATAGAGTTCTTCCGTTCCAATTTGTATCCAGCCTCTCACGGAGACTTCAGATGCCCCAACACCTGTGAAGAGATGACTCAATGCCTGAACACACTCCTGCCTGGCGATTTATGTAGGCTATCACGGTTGTATTGTCTATCCTGACCAATACGTTATGATTTTTGAGAAAATGCACAAAATGTCTCAGAGCAAGAAACTCTGTCAGTAGCTTCTCTGTCAGTGTGGGACACCAAACTCCTCTCACTGTTCTGCCCTCGAACACTGTTCCCCATCCTGTGAGAGATGCATCCTTCATCACCACTTTTCTCAGTACTATAGGACCCAGAGGATATCCTGTCCTGAGTAAAGACAGGGCTCTCCAATAATAGAGAGCACTCGTGCATTCTGGTGAGACCTGCACTCTGTGGCTGAGGCGGCTCTTTGGGCAAATGCCCTGTGATGATGTCCAGTTCTGAAAATCCCTCATTTTCAACAGTCCTAGAGGAACCACGGACACAGTTGAGGCCATCAGTCCTAGTAGCCGAAGACACATTCTGAAAGAGACATTCTGAAAATATGCGTCCTGGAGATCCACCGAGGTGAACCAGTCTTCGTGCTGAATATTTTGACACAACATTCTGATAGACAGCATTTTGAATTTGTACTTTCTGAGGTGTCTGTTGATGACCGGTAAATCCAGAATGGGACGGAGACCTCCTCCTCTCTTGGGAATCACAAAATAAAGGGAGTATAAACCCATATCACTCCCTTTCTCATTAAAGAGGCTATTTCTTCCTCTAAAACCAGAGCTGCTTCCCCTTTGGCCACTGAAATTACCACTCCATTAAACAGACGAGGATTTACAGCGAACTGAAGCCTCTATTCCCTCTTCCCTCTCTATGGTGGTTAATACCCAGGGATGAACTGTGCATGCGTGCCATTTTACTGTCTGAGCAGCAAGTGGGCCCTTCCAGTCTTTGCTCACTACTGTAGAGGTGCACACACATTTGACTCTGAACTGTCTACACACACACACACACACACACACACACACACACACACTTCACCTCTGAATTCCTTCTCCTCTTCCCCACAGGAGGGAGAGAGGAATCGTTCTGAAGGGATGGGACAGAGAAACCCTGGGTGCTGTCTTCCAACCCTTCCTGATGACAAGCTGACGTATCAGGTCGACCACCTCTTCTTATTCCCATGGGGGGCCAGGCGATCGGTGTTTCGCAACTGAGACAGCAAAAAATTGCCCGGTTGTTGGGGTGGACCGGAGTGGAATGCCCTCCTCTCTCCGACAGTCTGAAATTCAGCCGACTCGGATGATAAGGCCGAGCCGCTGGCTTTCTAGGGAGACAGACCTGGAAAGCTTCTCCTTCCCTCTTCCGCAGGTCACACTGCTGCCGCATCGCTGTTACCATCATGCTGAACATGGCTTTTGGATCTATAGGGGCATCCAGAAACTCTGCTTTCTCTTTTTCAGAGAGCCCTGACAGACCCAGCCACAGCAATCTCTCTCCCACAACTGCTAAGCCCATACTCAGCCGGTTACCTATCAGCTCCGTCAGAAAATTGTTAAGCAAA